AGATGGTGTGTGTGTGTGTGTGTGTGTGTGTGTATATATATATATATATATATAATATATATATAATGATATAATGTACATCCTCCTACAGCCAGCCAAAAAATCGAGGATAAAACCATCAAACATTTTAAATAAACCATTTAATTGGTCATTTTAATAGAATAAATATTACAATAGGTTTATTTTTTGTTTGATGAACCACTTCGTATTTTAAAATATTAAGAAAAATGTATGACTTACACAGTGTTTTGCTGATAATGTATGGTGCAATGCTGTAATGTATAGGCTTGGTCATGGTTATGAACTTTCAATAAGACACATAGACGGGATTCTAAATTTTGTCTTAATCAGTGAAAACGTGAAAATAAATAGATTTTGGCATTAATGGCGTTCCATATTACTTATTTGCATGGCGTTCAATACTGTAATTTTGGGTCGTAATTTTGCATGTAAGTAAGTAAGTAAGTAACTTTATTGCTTCTCTTTTATAACAGAGGCACAGCCGTAAAGACGTGCAACAATAACAAAATCAGTAAAAACTTAATTACTGTGATTAAATATAGTAAGAAAATACTGCGGTAGAACGAAATATAAATAAACAAAGGGCTTACAAAAATAGTAATAGAGATAAAATTAAATACTAATACTAATAATATAAGTAAGTTGGTTAATACATCACTTATACACACATACATATACACATACACACAAACATATATATACACATATACATATATACATACAGCATACACACACACATACACACACATACACACATGTATTTTTGCCATTTGCTTGGTTTACTAAATAGACGCTGGTGGCGCTCTCCGAAATTATCTAACGTAACATGTTCTAAGAAGAATTAGTTTCACGTCCGAAATTTAAAATTATTTTTTGGTCAGGGTATTTACTTTTTACTATCCTATATACTAATGGTAAACAGGCTTGTAAATAGTAGAAATATTTTTTTTAATAAAGAAGTAAAATGAATCTTTGTAATGTATTTATGTTCCCACCTCTTAGTCTCCTTCTTGACATCATATCTTCAGATAGTCATTTTTTTATTGTCCATCGAGAAATGAATGTTTTTTTTAAAATAGCAAATAGTAAATTTTGTTATGAGGCTCCAAAATTTGATAAGGGTGGGGACGTGAAAATAGCAATTAATTTTATTTGGCCTTAAGCAGATTGAAAAAAAAATTAGGCGTTTTACTGCACTGAAATTTACAAAGGCTATGGGTATTATTTGAACATTAATATTAATAAATATAATTGTTCTTATACTTGGGGTATATTTAGCAGGTCTTAACTTTTGGGTGATCCAATCAAATCGATTTGTTGTCATCTTAATGTTTAACAAATAATATCTATTGTGAACACACAAAAATATGCAGTAGGGCCCTGTCAAATTACTCGTATTCTGTATTATGCAAATTGTATTCTAAATAAATGATTGTTTTGATCAATTTGAATTGCAAATTAGTTTTATTTCTGCATGATTTGTTAATTTGTCGTAATCATGAACTGGGTGGAAATTGTCTTAAAGTAAACGCGAAAACGCTGGATTCAACTTCTCGTGCTTTTTTTTTTCTAAATCTAATGGTAAGGCGCATGTTGACTCAATGAATTATAAGAGGCCTTTAGTCATAAACAAGCATTCGTCACACATCGAATTCATGTTGCCTTCTTCAATTAAACGGCATTAAATATTGAAGATGGACTGATGATATTTCTAATTATTGGCTGTATTTCCATAAAATATGACCTTTAGAAATTGTCATCCGCACCGTGTTCTCAACGAATTAATTAAAAAAAGGATACACATGCCTATGATATAATAAATATGTAAGAACGCTCTGTTTAAATTATTTGCAAAAACAGTTATTATACTTTTATAACAATTGTTATCGTTATCATCTTTGTCATCGTCATCATCGTTTATTATTATTATTATTATTATTATTATTATTATTATTATTATTATTATTATATTTATATTATCATTATAAGGATAATTTATTGATTCACGTTGAATCGTCGGTACTTACTTTAATGATTGGCTTACTCACCAAGTTTATTTTCATATTCATGCCGGATACGTAGCGGATATTGTGTGTCTATAATCAAGCCAGGCCTAAGTTGAATTTATTCAGCTAAAATTGCTCTGTTCATTAATGTGTGAGATGAGTCACATTGCCATCGAGTTGTTATTGATCTTGTAGAAAATGGATGCTTACATTAAAATGCACTATGCATACGAAGCTTTATAGCAAACCGACATTACATATCGTTCATTTATTTTCAATCCAAAAACAACTTGTTTTGCTGGATGGTCCAACCAATAACTTATCATAGCAGAATATATCAATTGCGTCATTCTTTTCATAAACATAATTGGAATGATTTTTTTTTTCGTATCTTTACCAGGCAAATTATCGTACTCTCAGAAAAAACATTTTATTTGAATGAGAATCGACCCACGACCTCCACAACAGCGGTGGCTCAAGAAATTTGCGATGGAGGGGTCCAAACCAAGGGCCGACTAGAGCCTCGGTCGACGGCTCGAATAAACCAACATAGCGTTATTGTGCGTCACCCCAGTGACCCCACCCCCAATTTCAAAATCTCTAGGGGCGGATTTAGGGTCTTTGAGGCCAAACACGTACGTAGCCTGGGTTTTTTGGGCGTGAGGTTCAGGAAGCCCCGGTGGTGGAGTCGGCAAAAACCCCCGAAGCCAGGGGAATTTTGTGTTCTATGGGTCTAAATAGTGTAATATATAAAAGCCGTTAGGTTTAAAAAAAAGGTCTAAATCATTCCGTCTGAGTCTGGGCAGTGGCATAGTTAGGGGAAGGTCGAAAGTTGGGCCGATCGAGACAACAATGTCCTAGGGGGTCCGGGGGCATGCACCAGCGAAATTTTTGCGTTTTAGACGCCCGAAAATAATATTTGTAATAATATTATCTTTCAAAGTTCCAAACATCGTAATGCAGTTTCAATAGAAAGAAACAGGAGCGGGGTGGGGGGGGGGAGGCAATGATGGCGCCAGGATCTGCCCGACAGATGGGATAAAGGCCCCGACAGGGTGGGGGGGGGGGAATAGGGGAGCGAATCGAGCCT